TATAGAAGGGTAAGGGTTTTTCACCATTGTTTTCCTAGGTCTTAGCGTGGTAAATCAAATACAAAAACCCAATGAATATTTGTTGACTTACTCATGTATTTTAAAAAATCCTCAGTTGCCAGAAAACATTTTGATTCAATTCTTAACTGCTAGCTTGAAACCAAATCTTAGAAGATGCATTTTTTAAAGCCAAGAACACTCTTCTTTTGAAGTTAGAATGAGATTCTAAATTGCTCTTTTATATAAGTTAGTTTCTGAAAAATAAGACCTTTAAATTGGCACAGAAAAAAGTTATGAAGGAATTCATTCCCTTCACTCATTCACCAAGCATTTACTGAGTATCTATTGTGTGCAAAACACAAAATAAATGGCCACTATCAAGCTTTCAGACGTTAAACATATAACCAAACAAATAAATAGGTAATTGAATATTGAAGTAAGTGCTATGGATGAAAATAAAGGAGTGATAAGAGAGCTGGATTAGAGGGAAAAGGAGGTCAAAGAAACACAAAAGATGAGTAGAGCTTTAACTGGCAAAGAATAGGAGGAAATAATTGGGATGCTTAAGAAACAGCAGGTCAGTGATGGCAGCAGGAGGAAAATATGTCCAAGACTAGGCTGGCCAAGAAGTCAAGGCTTTAGGAGTCTCTGAAATCTGTTCCAGGTGTGTAGATGTGTGTTATGCAAGGAATTCACATGATACTGTCATGGATGAAGGACAAGAGGGGTCAAGAAAGAAACCAGGGGGTCTTGTTAGGAAGTTATATTAGTGGTCCAAGTGAGAGATGATAGCTTGGAGTTTGATGGTGTGGTGGTGGAGATGGAAAGAAGACTCCACTGAGATGCATTTAGAAAATAGAATTTATAGGATTGTGTGATGGTTTTGGATAGGGAATAAAGATGTCAAAGAGGATTCTCAGGTTTCTGGCTGAAGCAACCCCATAGATGATAGTACCATTTACAAGGATAAGAAAAAAAAAAAAAACATTAGAAAGGTGTTAGGTTTGGGGTACTTTTGTTACTGTTGTCATTTTGGTTGTTTTATTTGGATATCTGTTTATTTGTTTTGCTTTATACTGGTGGGGTAGCAAAAGGGAGGAAAGCGTTATCAAGAGATCTGTTTGAGACAGGCATGTTTTCTGTAAGATCCAGGACCTCGACTGTCTGGGTTTCCAGATAAGTAATATCTATGTAAGGAAGGTACCCTTAAACACTGTTCCTACCCTTCACCTGGATGGGTGCAGAAAGCCTATTTGTACAGGTCAGTAGTACTAAGTTACCTTTAATTTCTTTTCTGACCCCATCTACTCTACTTTAGCTTCTGCTCTTAGACTGACATAATATTAGAATTCTCATTAAAAACAATTCATAGGGATACTGGGAAGATTGAATTATATCATACATTTAAACCTGACTATCACAATATGGGGCTAATACTACAGGTTCAATAAACATCCATTTCCCTTCCTTTTATAATGGTCATCACTATTTTCCTGGTGGCTAATATTATGAATGACCCAGACACCTACCCAGGGGTCCTATTCTCTGGCCTGTTTTACAAAGGAGGGAACTGAGGCTTGGGAAAGCTAAATAGCTTGTCCAAGATCTGAGAACTAAAAGTCAAGGAGCCAGAGTTCAAACTCAGCTCTGTCTCATCAAGATGATACTACATCCTAGAACACCCACTTGTCACACCAGCAGTGTTGGTGTTTTCAATATTTGCAATTAAAAATCACACTTATCACTAAAGTAACAAGTTGAAGACCAAAGTACAATCAATCTCTATCCATTCACAGAGGAACACAAAAATTTTATTCTAAACCAATGCTATCAGTGAACTTGCCCTCAATTTCCATTGCTTCCATTCATAATGCTTCTGCTTTACATATATGTATTCAAGTCACGGTTTTCTTATCAGATCAGACATTTATGGCTTTAATTTACTTAAATGCATATTCCCCAGGCATTCCTCATTTCATTTTGATGACACTGACTCATTCTTGCCACATAAGGAGGCTGTGAAAATGAATAGTGTCACTGTGGAAGTGTCCCCAAACTTTATATTCACAAATGTCCACCCTTTATATTATAAAGAAAAAAAGTTTAAAAAAAAAAAAGGTAAAGAAAAAAAAGGGGTTCTAAATTTCCCTTCCCTTCCTAACTCAGTGAGTGGGCTGCTGAACATATGGAAATGTAGGATAGAACATAAGATCATGTCAATTTCATGAATGAAATATGCAATTGGAAGGTGGTAGAGCTGTTATTATAGGGAGCTGATTCCATAGAATTCTACTTTAGGATGAGCTTTTAAAGAGCATGTTATCCTTCCAGACTCAGGTAAGAGGAACTATCCTCATGCCACCAAACCAGAGAAGAGAAAAGGAGATTCAGAGATGTTCTGTGAGTTAATTAAGACCCTATGGCTATTTCCTGGTAGCATCCTTGCTGAATGCCAGGTTTCCTAATTCCCCCCAAAGTGTATTCAGCCTTGCAAGCTGTCATCAACTATCAAGGATGACACTTTCCTCTGGCTTTATGCCAACTTCTCCTTCTCTTTATTGCCCTGGCTTTGAAATGTCCACCACAGATAACACCAATGCTTTGAATGTCCTTAACTGATATTTAGTGTTGAGACATTAACTTACACTAAACACACGTTCACGCTTGTCCCCTTTCCTGGCACTGATAATCTCCGGACTTCTCAAGTTTACCCTCCAGGAAGCCAACACTGCACACAATTTTAACAAGAGTTTGGAACCGAGGTCCCCTTTCCTGCTCTGCCCACACCCGTGCCCACAAGCAGAAGTTCGTTCTCTCCATTACAACCCATCAGGCACACACACCCACCAAGGCAAGTAACAAAGGAAAACAGAGCCCCATGAAGGCTGCATCTTCCCGTCCACACCTGCCAAAAGACAAAAACCATACGGGAATCCTGTCCTGGCAATGTGTCCAACACTCCTCGGGAGAAGCAGGCATCTTGGCACCTCCCGGGCTTGCGCGGCTGTATGCACAAAGAAACTGGTGCTGAGCTTGCTAGCGGTCCAGGGTACCAATGCGATCCCTGGGCTGCTCCCCAGGCTGCTATTCGGGCTTCTCCCCCAATGCTCTCTCGCCCAGCAGAAAGGAACTAGTCTTTATTTGACCCACAGGGACCCCAGGCTGGATAGTAGCGTATTGGAGTAGGAGGGACAGCTCCTGGACCTCAACCTTCCAAGCAGCGAGTCCCACAGCCTTTGGCATCTAGAAGATGCATAATCGCGCGCTGTCATAGATGTCCGCTTCGCATGGTCTCTCGGCAAAGCAAGATGCCCCGAGTCCCAGCCATGCGCATCCTCACAACCGCCCCTCCCCGTGCAGATGTCCACCCTGGCAGCCCCGCCAGGCGCGCCTGCCTACCTGGTGGCTAGCTGTCAGCGAAGCGCGGTGGCTCATCCCTTTCTTCTCCCTCAGCTGCTACATCGCTCCGAGCGCCATGTTCCTGGTCTACCCGGGCGCATGCTGGGGAACTACTACGGGCTAGGCAGGGGTAGGGGGGCGGGGGCCAGAGGGAGAGGATAGGAGGTAGAGCCAAAGCTTTCTACTCTCCACCCAAACCTCCCCCAGATACTGAGCATGCCCAGCTGCCCGGCTTCGCCCCTAGGAGGACTTTCCATGAGCGCATGCCGCGTCTCCGGGTTTTCGTGGCAGCCGGCGGGAGGCGAGCTGGAGCAGCTGCCGGGAGGAGGGAAGGGGAGGATCTGGGGGAGTGTCTACAAGCCGCGGTAGCTGGTAGCTGGAGAAAGGAGCGTTTCGCCAATCACGCCGTCCCTTTGCTGTCCCCCGCCGGAGCAGCCCAAGCACGCTGCCTCCCCTCACTCTCCCGGTTTGTTGAAATGTTATCACGACCACTGCTGGACTGAGCTTCGCTTAAGAGGCCAGTAATAGGGGGAGAAGGGAAGTGGGGGGGGGCGGGGCTGGGAGGCTAATCCGCTGCTAGCCAAGTCCCCAGCACCTGGACCAGCGCTTCTCAAACTTTAATGTGTCTATGAGTTAAATGCAGATTCTGATTCACTTATTCTAGGCAGGGGCCTGAGATTCTGCAGGTCAAACGAGCTCCCAGTGGGTATTGATGCTTCCAGTCTTCCTACCACACTGAGTAGAAAGGACCTGGACAACCCCAGATCCGTGGCCTCTGAGTGGCCATCCCTCAATCAGCAATCCCAGAAATGGTCTCTGGCGCCCACATAGACTCCTCCCACCTACTGATGATTTGGTAACAAAACCAGAGAAGTTGAGGTTGATCTGTTGGCGTGGTGCTGGACTCTGACCACTCAAGACTAACTGGCTGCTATCTGGTTTAGAAAATGAGATCTGGACTTCTTGCTGCTCACGTTGCAAGTTAGCCACTACCTGAGGTCCTTCACTTAAGTCTGAACCAATGTGCATTGGCTTTCCCTCTGCCTTTCCTAAGCCCAGAAAAAATCCAGACTGGGAGTCAAAGTGTCCATTTATTTTCCATATAATAAGACTGGGCTTGCCCAATTGATAAAACTGATAGATTGTGTTAACAGTTGGGCATTTTTGCACCAGGAGATGACAGGCCTTTCTGTTGAGTGATGTTTGGACTGAAGCTTACAATGATACCTTGTGACTACTTAAATTTCACAGTTGTCCATTCCCCAAATGCTCTAGCATTGGCAAGAATATTCCCTGAGCACATTACTGTGGGAGAATGACATGTACAAAACCAAGCTGAGTTTTCAAACTTCGGTAATAAATGCAAAAAAAGAAAGAAAGAAAAGAAGCTGTGCCCTCTTCTGTCCTCAGCTGCTTCAACAATACCTTTATGAGCTAGTTCATATGGTATTGTGTAAGCACATAACTGGATTTTGTGGTTGTTAGGTGCCGTCAAGTCATCTTCAACTCATAGAGACCCTATGCACAGCAGAACGAAACACCACCTGCTCTTGCCAGCTCTGCAATCCCTGCTATACTTGAGCCCATCTGTGTCAGTCCATCTCATTGAGGTCCTTCCTCTCTCTCCTCGACCCTCCACCTTACCTAGTATGACATCCTTCTCCAGGGAATGGTCCCTTCGGATAGCATGATCAATGTAGATGAGATGAAATCTGTCCATTCTCAATTCCAAGGAGCACTCTGGCTGCACTTCCTCCAGGACTTTTAGTAGTCCATGGTACTGTCAGCATTCTTCACCAGCACCACAACTCAAAAGCATCAATTCTTCTCTGGTCTTCCTTCTTCATTGTTCAGTTCTCACATGCATGAGGCGATTGAAAATATCATGGCTTGGGTTAGGCGCACCCTCGCCCTCAAGGAGATAACTTTACTCTTCAGCACTGAAAGAGTTCTTTTGCAGCCAACTTGCCCAGTGCTATACGTCATCAGATGTCCTGACTGCTGCTTCCATTGGCATCGACTGTAGAACCAAGCAATGTGAAGTCTTTGACAACTTCAATCTTTTCTGCATTTATCATGATGCTGCTTATAGGTCCAGTTGTGAAGACTTTTGTTTTCTTTATATCGAGGTGTAATCCATACTGCAGACTGTATTCTTCAAACTTCATCAGTAAGTGCTTCAAGTCATCCTCACTTTCAGCAAGCAAACTTGTATCATCAGCGTATCGCAGGTTGTTAATGATTCTCCCTCCAATCTTGATGCCACGTTCTTCTTCATATAGTCCAGCATCTTGGATTATTTGCTCAGCATATAGGTTGAATAAGTGTGGTGAAAGGATACAACCCCGACACACTCCTTTCTTGATATTGAACCATGCAGTGTCCCCTTGTTCTGTTTGAACGACAGCCTCCTGGTCTATGTACAGGTTCTTCATGAGTACAATTAAGTGTTCTGGAATTCCCATTCTTCTCAATGTTATCCACAATTTGTTATGATCCACACAATCAAATGCTTTTACAGTCCATAAAACACAAATAAACATATTTCTGTTATTCTCTGCTTTGAGCCAAAATCCTTCTGACATCCACAATGATATCCCTGTTCCCTGTCCTCTTCTGAATCCAGCTTACACCTCTGGAAGTTCTCTGTCAATATACTGCTGCCACCATTTTTGAATTATCTTAGGTAAGATTTTACTTGTGTGCGATATTAATGATATTGTTTGATAATTTCAGCATTCTGTGGGATCACCTTCTTTGGAATGGGTACAAATATGGATCTCTTCCAGTCAGTTGGCCAGGTCTTCCAAGTCTCTCGGCATAGCTGAGTGAGTGCCTCCAGTGGGGTATCCATTTGTTGAAACATCTCAATGGGTATTCCGTCAATTCCTGGAGCCTTATTCTTCAGCATTTCCTTCAGTACAGCTTTGACTTCTTCCTTCAATATCAATGGTTCTTGATCATATGACACTTCCTGAAATGAATGAAGATCTACCAGTTCTTTTTGGTACAGTGACTCTGTATTTTTTCCATCTTTTTTTTTTTTTTTTTTTTATGCTTCCTGCATCATTCAATATTTTGCCCATAGAATCTTTCAGTATTGCAACCCAAATCTTAAATTTTTTCCTCAGTTCTTTCAATTGAGAAATACTGAGTATGTTTTTCCCTTTTGGTTTTCTAACTCCAAGTCTTTGCACATTTTCTTATATTATTGGCTTTGTCTGCTCGAGCTGCTCTTTGAAATCTTTGGTTCAGCTCTTTTATCTTGTCATTTCTTCAATTTGCTTTGGCTACTCTCTACTCAAGGGCAAGCTTTAGAGTCTCTTCTGTCATGCATTTTGGTCTTTTCTTTTTTTTTTCTTGTATTTTTAATGACCTCTTGCCTTCTTCATGGATGATGCTATTGATGTCATCCCACAATTCTTCTGGTTTTCAGTCATTGGTGTTCAATGGATCAAATCTATTCTTTAGGTGGTCTCTAAATTCAGGAGGGATATATTCAAGACCATATTTTGGCTCTTGTGGACTTGTTTTAATTATCTTCAACTGCAAGTTGAACTTGCATATGAGCAGTCGATGTTGTGTTCCACAATCAGCTCCTGGCCTGATTTTGGCTGAAGATTTTGGGCTTTTCCATCGCTTTTTGCCACAGATGTAGTCAGTCTGATTCCTGTGTATTCCATCTGGTGAAGTTCACGTGTATAGCTGCCATTTGTGTTGTTGAAAAAAAGGTATTTACAATGAAAAAGTCGTTAGTCTGCAAAATTCTATCATGCGATCTCCAGCATTATTTCTGTCACGAAGGCCAAATTTTCCAACCACTGGTGATAATTCTTTGTTTCCAAATTTTGCATTCCAGTCACCAGTGATAATTACCACATCTTGATTGCATGTTCTCTCAATTTCAGACTGCAGAAGTTGATAAAAACTTCAATTTCCTCATCTTTGTCTTTGGTGGTTGGTGCATAAATTTGAATAATAGTCATATTAACTGGTCTTCCTTGTAGATATATGGATATTATCCTATCACTGGCAGCATTGTACTTCAGGAAAGCTCTTGAAATGTCCTTTGTGATGATGAATGCCACACCATTCCTCTTCAAATTGTCATTCCTGGCATAGTAGAGCATATGGATGTCTGATTCAAAATGGCCAAAACCAGTCCACTTCAGCTCACTAATGCCTAGGATATCAATCTTTATGTGTTGCATTTCATTTGTGACAATTTACAATTTTCCTAGATTCGTACTTCGAACATTCCATGTTCTGATTATTGATGGATGTTTGCAGCTATTTCTCCTCAATTTGAGTCATGCCATGTCAGCAAATGGAGGTCTCAAAAGCTTTACTTATCCAAATAAGTAAGGTTGGTTCTACTGTGATGATGCCTCTCTTTCTCCGTTGTATTTTGAGAGCCTTCTGACCTAAGTGGCTTGTCCTCCTACACTGTATCAGACAGTGTTTCCAGGTTACTCATATAATTGCCTAGTATAACAGTGTTTCTCTTCTATTCATAAGGTTTTCCCTGGCCAATTTGAGAAGTGGATGGCCTCTTCCTTCCTCCTAGTCTGTCTCAGTCTGCAAGCCACACTGAAACCTGGGCACCATGTGCAACTCTGCTGCTGTTTGAAACACCGCTACAACAGCCTCAAGCCTCACAGCAACATGCCACCACAGTGTGACAAACCGACAGACAAGTTTGTCTCCCTTAGTTGTTCAAAACCTCTCCACCCTCCCTTTACCTGGATCCCTCTGCTGCTTGCTCGCTCTCTCCTGGACACCATGGCTTTCCTTTCCTTTCCCCTCTGCTTTTCTGTCTGCTTCAGGGTTGGGGCCCGGGCCCCTCCCCTTACCTGGATCCCTGTGCTGCTTGCTCACTCTCTCCTGGATGCATTGGCTTTCCTTAACTGGATAGCAGATTACAAAATAAGGACTTGTATCTATCATTACCTTATCATACTCAATAACTGTAGATAATTTCCTATTAGTGATGCAATAATTATCATTTCACCTTATTTATTGTCCTTTCACTGTTTTCCCTCATGCAGTAGCTTCTGTATCAGAATAGTCACTTTGGACCAAATAGTAAATGACATTTCTCCCTCAATATTTTCTCCCTCAGTATTCCCATATATAACACAAAAAATGCAACCACTGCTGTGGAGTCGGATCTGACTCATAGTGACCTCTCCTTGGGTTTCCAAGGCAGTATCACTACAGAAGTAGATTGCCCAACCTTCCTTCCAAGGAGTGGCTGGTGTGTTTGAACCACCAGCCTTCTGG